GTCAGCCACAGTTTGTTATGATCCACACAGTCAACTGCCTTTGCATAATCAATGAAACACAGATAGACATTCTTCTGGTATTCTCTGCTTTCAACCAAGATCCATCTAACATCAGCAACAATATCCCTAGTACCATGACCCCTTCTAAACCCTGCCTGGACTTCCAGGTAGAATATAATAAAACAGTGCATTCGAAATAGCAGCAAACAAACAGGTAAGAGCTACCACAGAACACTTAACCTAAAAATTATCTATAATGAAGATATCTTTATAATAAGAAAACATATTTAAAATATTGTTTGTTACCAGTATCTAGATGATGGAAAATCACCATTAGTGAAATCAGGGCTACCATACAAACTCTTCTTCAGTAAATGAGGTGCCCTAACTACAATATACTGTGTGTCCTGAAGGTTTATGCCTAACGATCAAAGATCAAGATAAAATCTGATTTCAGCTCTCCAATATCCCCTGAGTGGATTCTGATTCATATAGCAAGCCTCATAGGCTTTCCAAGGCTATAATCTTCAGGAAGCCATATGCCACATCTGTTTCTCACAGAGCAGCTAATGGGTTAAAACTACTCTATTTTGGCTAACAGGTGAATACTTTAATCACTGTGCCACCAGGATTCTATTTTAATTTCCATGCAAATAATACTTTGTTTTGTGTGCCTTGGATAGCCATTGCATAGTTGATCTTTCAATGGCTGGTGGATTCCAATAGTGTACCTTAGTGTAGGCAGTGCAATTCCTTAGTTTTAAGCCACCAGAACTCCCTGCAAGCAATACTAAGTGGGCACACATAACAAATTCTTTTATTCAAGTGATCATTTTACTATGCTCCTACTAGGATCCAGTATCTTGAACTCTGGACTTAATGGTGTATGTCTAATTTCTATAATATAGGAGAGACTACAACAAAACAAATGCTGTTAATTCAAAGACAAAATCATCGCCATGAAGTCAGAATCAACTCAGAAGTCGCTCTTCTGAGAGTTTTCTGAGGCTATAAATAGCACAAAGGAGATTTCCCATCTTTCTCCCTCTGAGAAGCTGATGGACTCAAACTTTTGGGTTTGCAGTGTAACTCTTTACCCACCAGAGCTCCCTAACACAGGAGAGATTACAGTAAAATAAACACTGTAAATTAGGTGTATATAAAAGGACAGCTTAGTTTAACTCCTCAGTTTATGATCAAATACCTATTACTACAATGAGAACAGGACAATTTTATATCTTTTCAGCAGCAACATTAAGTCATTGCTGAATTGTCTTTACTATCATGTTTCATTTTTAGTGGCTCTAACATTGCATTTTTAGTGCTGTTTTTCCTTCTCCTTTTGAAGCAGAACAGGACATAGATATTAAGCTATTTTTTCCCTTGGATACCTGCAGTAGAAGCCAATAGCTGGGTTTACTTAGTCTTTCAGGATCAGCCCTTAAAGCTTCTAAAATCCACAATCAAAGGAAATAATAATAAAATCAGAACCAGAAAAAGACTTTTTAAATAGGTCAATACAAACTGCTGGTGCTCAAGGCAGGGACTATGTTTAAACAAAATTATGTATAGCCCAAAGCCCCTAGTCAGTGGGAAGCCCCATTCATCCTAGTGTATAGCTGATAAGGCAAACTGTTAGATTGCAATTCATGTGCTCAGATATTCTTCCATAGTAACCTCAGAGGAGTCACTGGAGCTGAGTGCACATTTTCTCTTCTCCATGACATAGTACAGTTAGAAGATAAACAGAGAACAGCTTGCCCAGAAAGTCACTGATGACTGGTTTCAAACTGATAAAAATGAGAGAACAGAGATGGCAAATAGGAAGATCATGTTGCCCCAGATAAGGGATCAGATGCCTTGAAGGGACCAGGAATAAATAAAAATATTTCAAGAAAAAAAAGTATGCTGAGGAAAAGCAATTTAATGGACTCTGCAATCTTATCCCAAAACACAGTAAATAATGGAAAACAAAGAGTAAAAGCTCCAAACATTAACAGCAGTTAAAAAAGAACAACAAAGAATCCATAAACCTCATGTACTTTAGTCATTTTACTAGTCTTTCCTACCATCATCACTTCTATAACAATGATTTAACCAATAGCAACAATATGAGTGGCTTAAAGAAGTTCAGTCTTAGAAAAACAGGTAATGTTTTCAATTTTTATGTACATTTTTGCCAGCATAAATGTTTCTTTCAGCATTTTTCCCCAATGCTAATTTGTACAACTGCTTTAAGAAAATGGAATACGGGATAAGATGGTAAAATAAAAGATATGACAAAAAAGGTGTCTTAAATATAGTAGGTATTCAAATAAATATTTGTTGACTGAAAATCAACTCAATTCAGAAAGATACTTACTGCTTGATGCTATGTCAATCAAAAGAGTTTCTTCTGCTTCTGAGGGGGAGAAAAGAACAGAATCAGGGAAGAGAAATTCATTACAATCAAAAGAATTATATGCCTAACTAACTGAGTCCCTTCATCAGCACTCTGTGGTCTGAGAACACATTTTAAAAAATCTTTGCTTCTTTGTTTAGCATTTGTTTAAAAGGGATTTTAATAGTACTATACTCAACATCACAAGCAATTCATCTGAAAGGAAAATGAATTGAACAAATAATCAAATGTTCATTGCTGTTAATTTCAATTTATACCAGTACCCTAAAGGACACAGTAGAACCCACAGGTTGTAATCTTTACAAAAGCTAGTTCAGTTGCTTTTGTAAAACAACATCTTGCTTCCACAGAGGAGTGCACTGACTGCAAGCACTGACCTTTTGGGCTAGCAGCTGAATGCTTTAACCATTGTGTCACCAGAGCTACTTTACTAAGGAAATGGAACTCCTGAGTATAAACTGAGGAATGGGGAACATAGCAACATGTTCTCAATTATAACAACAATTTAAGAGGAGCTCTGGTAGTGCTAGTGCATACAGTATCAGACTGCTCGCTAATCAAAAGGTTGGCAACTCAAATCCATGGCCAACTCCATGCGCCAACGAGGGGCACTCTCCTCCCATAAAGCTGTGCACCTCCAAAACCCTGTTGGGAATTGCTATGAGTTGGACTGTGACAGCAGTGAGTCTGGATAGTTTGGTTCTGGTTTTTGTTTCTCTGAACCATGTACTTTAGATTCTTCTTGCAGAAAGCAAGGAAGTGACTCCAAGGGCCCACCAGCAAATTAGTTTCCTAACTAAGCTGTGTTGTTGTGCGTCATCAGGTGGGAACCGATCCATAGCTGACCCACCAACAGGGTTGCAGAGGTATTACATCAAGATGAGATTGCATCCAGCTTTCTCCCATGGAGCAGCTTATAGATTTGAACCACATGCCTTTGGGTCAGCAGTTTGACTCCTTACCACTGAGCCATCAGAGCTCCCTAAATGGGGATTAGTAATTTAAGTTCTAGTCACTGAAACTTAGTGATCTCAGTATTTCTGCTCCTGTCTAGAACAGTATACCTGAAGTTCTCTGACATCAAGTTACAGTTAACACCTGTGAACCCACTATACTAAAACTCAAAACCCACTGCCTTCAAGCTGATTCTGACTCACAGTGACCCTTCACTGGATTTCTGAGACTATAAATCTTTATGGGAGGAGACTGCCCCTCTTATGTAACCATGAAGCAGCTGGCAGATTCAAACTACCAACCTTGAGGCTCCTCCTTCTCTGCTGTTAAGTCAGAACCAACTCAGAGCTGACCCTCCAGCAGGTTATAGACTATTCCATGTACAATTCACACTGAG